ATTGTTTTTGAATTGAGATGGAGACTCGTCTTGATCAAATGACCAACATAATCGAGCATCCTAGTGACAATCTCTAAGTTAACATTCAATAGAAGAAAACAAAATAATGAGGTGAACCATTACAATACTCAAGATAACGAATGATGAAGTTCTCAAACTGCATTAGAAGAAAAATACAAGAGCGGCATTCAATATCCCAACTTTCACTATGAAAACAGGACGTGTATGCTATTGTAGATGAGCGTGTTGACTAAGAGAAGATCCACATGCATACTCCATATTTCTTTTCAGTTCCACCTTTCAATTCTGTCGAAATTACATTGACACACTTTTCCTTCATAAGAACTTTCATTCATTAAAAGAAACAACATGACGCCTAATGTGTGCACAGGCAATACAACATTAAACAAGAATTCTTTTAAGAACAAGTTTTCTTTTTTTGATCAAAGACATTCAGATGAATATAGAATAATTATTAGAGACTGCGAACAAACATTAAAGTGGATGACATATGTACGTATCAATTAGCGATACTTATTGAGAGAAAAGATGTTACGTCTTGCAAATTCATAGTTTGATCATTTCAGATAAATCGTAGCAAGAAACTAAATGACAATATTTTTCAGGTCATAGGTGAAGATGACTGATATTCACGGTTGCTATCAGACTATTCTTTGATTCACCATCAGATGCACTGGTTCAGCCGGTCGACATTTCCAATTAATGAAAAACTGCTTGAAACCTTAACGAAAAGCTTTTGACACTATCAAGTATGTATAGAAAGTAGCAGAACAATTCAAATTAATAAGTGTTATTGCCACAGTATAAAAGAAGTTTTCAATCTGACGACGTTCGATACTTTTGTTTATACCGAAAAAAGTCGGTCATTGTTATTTCTTATATAATGATTGGATATGGAAGCGTTGTCATTGTAAAGACAAATACCTCAGCAAACGTCATAATTAAAAGTTCTCGGTCTTGACGCTGAATAATAGTATTATTCGCACCATTATTAGAAATGTTGCGTACCGGTTGTATGCGAGTGTGCAGTCGTCGCATATTTCGATAGGTTAGAAGACCAAATATATTGATGAATTTTTATAGAAATAAACAAACAAATATCATAAGATGAGAAAAATACAAAATATAATTGACACCAAACTGTCCACATTGTATTAAGTGTGATAGCAACACGGTTCATCACTGCTGCCCATAATAGAGATATCGAACACGAATTCTGACGATGACGACTGAATAGAATCACAATGCAAACGTTGCTAATATTGCCCAAAATTATAATAGTGGATACTTCATAACGAGCGAATTGAATTTGCAGAAGTGAGAATATTGAAGATGACATGATTTTTTCCTTGCATTTAGCTGTTGAATATTACAATGTTTTCTAATTTTATAAATGTAAGTCAGTGTAACCGTTTCCTTCAATGAAATTACATCAAGACAATATCTTTTCATTTAGTACACATTCGTACAATAATAATTTTCTGTAACATTGAACGAAAGTTGGCTTTGAGCGTTGTTTGAGAAGAACAAAAGGTATTCATAATCTCAATGACAACGTTTGCACTCCATTATATACAAAAACAAAAATGATAAGTTTTCATTTGGTTGAAATTTGATCACTAATTTTCTTTTTCATTACAACCAGTAATGTCATTTTGATACAGAATAAAAAGGAAATTGCATTTGATTCATCCGCAAATATTCTCATATTCCATTCTATGTCATCAATAGAGATGATAATAGAGAAATGTATGCCAGTTGTACCTTTGAAAAAGAAATGAAGCATAGTAAAACAACTTTGTTTAACGTCACTCATCTTTTTCTTTTTCTTTTTCTTTCTATTACGCTAAGCGTAACGGATGCTCAGACAAAATCTTCTTTGCTAAATATATTCATCTAAAGAATGTTCATCAAAGTCAACTAATAATTATGATATATCCTATCGAAATTCACCTTATTTTTTTTTGTTTCAGATTTCAGGCTTCTATTCGTAATCTAGTCACAAAAGACAGACAAGTCTTTTTACTATCAGACTACAAATAGTTATCTATCAGTCGTGATGTACTAATTATACAGTGTTCGTAATACTTCAATCTGAAAACAAACTGCAAGTAAAAGTAATAATACTGAAATATATGTTTTGCATATGTTAGATAACGAAGTGGTATCAAATTTGTAAAAATACGCTCGAAAAAAAAGTTCTAGTTCGTATTTCAAATATATTGTCACTATATATAGTACATCTTTTTTTGAAAACTAATTACATATTCTGAAAGAGTATGAAGTTTACAAAATACAGGTTTTAGGTATTTGTTAACTGATGATGTGTTCACTGCACTCAAATTATTTTTCAATAAATGAATGCAAGAAAAAAGGGAAATAGACAGGGTGATAGAAAACTCCACGCATGCTTTCAGAATATGTAACTCGTTTTAAAAAAATGTGCTTTTATAGTGACAATATATTTGATATACGAACTATAACTGTTGTTCTTCTGGCGTACAGTTGTATCTTGAGGTCAAGGATTCCGTAATAATGCATAGAAGTATTTAGGGTTATGGACAACATTTAAAATTTCTATGTATTCTATTTAGGTGAAAGTTTTAATACATTTACAAATATGGGAAATATCTATGTTTCATATCTAGAATTTTTCCAACATGATTTATTGGGGTTTTTCAGTATGTTATCTTATGTTGTATATAGAACTTTTCTCATCTACTTATATATATGTATGTGTTCGTTCTAGTTCTGGTGTCAGATATTAAATTCATTATCTTATTCTCTAACCGTTCTTCTTGTATATCCTCGTCTTCCATTATTTTTCTGTTTGTCATCATAACCAAGATATCACTAATAAACTAAAATCGCATATACCAAAATTTATACATTCTACTACATCTTATTCTTGCATTTCTTTCAGCTTACTCATAAATGATACGAGAACGGTGTTAGGCATGCACCCAACCCGGGTACAAACCGAAAACCCCGGCTCGGTATTCCCAGGATTCGGTCACTCCTGGTGTCTGAAATGCTGGATTTAGTTATTTATTTATTTGGGTCATTGCCAGATACTCGAAGAAGCCAGGAGCATAACAGGAATACCGAGCCAGAATTTTCCGGAGTTCGGTCATCCCCGGATTCGGTCATACCTGGCTTCCAAGGATGCCTAATGCAGACCAAAGTACATGAATCACTAAATCTAATGTTTTAGGTACCGGAAATGACCGAACACCGAACCAGAGAATGGTCGAGCCTGGAAATGACCGAACCCAGGAAGTTCGGGCTCGGTGCATGCCTAAACGGTGTCGAATTACAATTTGATGTAAACAGAAACTTGGTTCAACGTACGTGGAATATCATGCCTTTTTAGTACAGATATTATGGAATCTAGAAGCTTCAGATGAGATAGCCCGTAGTAGGCCTCATGAATTGCAATCGAGAAAACTCATGTTGTTCTTTGGTTGTTGTTTACGCAGAAACAGTTGCTGCTGTTCGAGCAATAATTGAGGATGTTTTCTACTGAATATATCAATTAATAGAAGACATTCTGAGCATAACTTCATCAGCAATTATTTTAATAATTCTTATTTGTTTAAAGTTCTACTAAGTTTTATGCTTGATAAATGCATTATTAAGTTATTGATGACTAACAGTAGATCCACATTCTATTGTCTCTTCATTTTCTGAACAGATCAAGAATCGTAGTCAAAAGTTCGACTATTATAAAACAATCTACGAGCAGTCAAAACTCATTGAAACAAAAGTTCAAACATGTGCATCAGGCCACTTCTTTTTCAACGAAATGCACCCTAATGAAGCTCATCTCATTGAAATCTAGTAGGTAGAAGTTAATCTGTCAATCGATGCCTAACGTAAGTTTTTAAACTATACTAGAAGAAAAATAAAAGAATGGTATTCGATGTTTCAGCTTTCACTATGAAAACACGAAACCATCGACATTCTGAACGAACAACAAATTTGCTTTCTTAAATCATATGAAAGTATATGCTAATTAAGCATTTTCGACAGAGTTAAACCTATACGAGACTTCTTTTTGCTGTTAAAATTGAAACCAAAAATTTATCTCAAACTTCACCTTCATAAGCTATTTTAATTGATTGCACTAGTACATTGTTGATGAAGAGCACCATTTCGAAAAAGCACACTAGTATCAGTCATTGAATATTTCTCGAAAGAGCTGGCGAAAAAACTTTTGTAATGTTGTTTGTAGTTACCATTGAAAGGCAATTTTGAGAATGATTCAATTACCAATGTGAAAGGCAAAAAGACGTCCTATGATCGATGGCCATATAATAATGTGAAAATTTTCTCTTTCGGTTTCACATGACATTTCTTTCGTTCTTTGTAAAAAGAAAAACACGAAATTACGTGTACTTTATCTGACATATTGAATAAATAGTATGTTGGAAAAAACCGCTGATATGTATATATATATTTATATGCGTTTCATCGAAATATACTATCCACAAAAAAAACGAACAGCAATGTCAAACAACATTATTCAATCTCTTCTGACTACACCTCTCAAACTTATCTATTGTCTTCTTAAGAATATCGATCAAAGTACAACTTCCATTTCAACTGAAGACGTCTGCACACGACCTGACATGACTACAGACAATCATTCTGAGTTGCAGGTAAATTTATGTAGAGAATATAGTTTGAATAATCTACAATAATTTCAATCGTATTCTATATCTGATGATTCATAAAAAATATTTACCGTTATGAAAATAGAAAAAAAGGAAGTTTTCTAAACTAAAACCAATATTATTATACCGGCTTATCATTTGAGAAAAATTGAATATTGAATCCATAATTTGAAAAAGAAATCATTCAATTAATAAAGTTATATAATTTGTATTACTCTTTAAAGTCATTCAAGACATTGAGTCTAGCAGACAAGGAAATTAACAATCGAAATTTACAACAAATAACTAATGGATTGAATACTAACACAGTAACATCAAACTTTCTACTTATTTAATTCACGTCTCTTAGATATTAATCAACATAGACACTTACAACGCTCAATCTTGGAGGAAACAATATCGGCGTTAAAGGAATAAAATATTTGCTGATTGTACTAGAAAAAAATACAGTAATATTAATTCTTATTTATCTACTTTATCTTTATTAGTATCATCTAATATAGACAGTCACTACGCTAGATCTTCAAAAGAATAAAACAGGTGATGAAGGAGCGCAACACTTGGCCTATCTATTACACGATAATACTGTAAGAAATATTTCTCTATTGTTATTCATTAATTATCTATCGATGAAATACAGACACTTATCACACTAAATCTAGGAGGAAATGAGATTGGCGACAAAGGAGCATACTACCTGGCAAATGAAATACAAAATAACATAGTAAGATCAGTTCTTTACTATATATATATTTAATGTTCATAACCACTACTTAACGTAGACACTCAAGATACTTGATCTGCAAAATAATAATATCAAAGACGAAGGCGCACAATCTTTAGCATGTGCATTAGAAAATAATATAGTAACACATTTTTTATTCCAATCTCTCATGTATTTGCCGTGTCCCATTAATATAGGCACTCACCACACTCAATCTTGGAAGAAATCAAATTGATATTGATGGAATACAACATTTGGCAAATGCAATAGAAAATAATACAGTAGAAGAAATATTCGATTTATATATTTATTTATTTATTTTGTTTAACATAGACACTTACTGAATTGAATATTGAAGGCAATGGAATAGGCGATGAAGGAGTACAATATCTAGCATATGCATTAGAAAATAATATGGTAAAACAGTTTTCTATTTTTATAATTCATATTAATATTAAAAATGCAAAATAGACATTAACAACGTTGAATCTTGGACGAAATGCAATCAGTGCTGAAGGAACACAGTTTATTGCGAATGCATTAGCAAATAACATAGTGAGAAAATTATTTCTATTCGTCGATCATGTATATATTTCTACTTTACGATATAGACACTTACTACACTTAATCTAGGAGGCAATCAACTCGGTGATGATGGGACAGAATTACTAACAACTGCATTACAATATAATAATGTTAGATGAATGTAGTATTTATTTATCTAGCCTTTAATTTTGTCATGCGATTTAGACACTCACCACACTGTATCTAGGATGGAACAGCATCAGTCTAGACGGAGCACAATATCTGGGAACTTCATTAAATAATAATTCAGTGAGGAAGATTTTTCTTAGTTAATATATGTTCACTTCTTGGGATTAATATAGACGCTTGTTAAATTGGATCTTCAAAGCAATGAAATCTATGACGATGGAATACAATATATAGCTTTTGCTTTACGAAATAATACTGTAAGATTAATTCTTTACTTGTCTTATCTATATTTTGCTCATTCAATATAGATACTCAAAACGTTGAATCTTGCACGAAATAATATTAGCAACAAAGGTGCAGATGATTTAGCCAATGCTTTAGAAAATAATACAGTAAAAAAAAATCATCCTATTCATCATTTCTAGACTCTTATTACAATCTCTATACATAGACTCTCACTAATCTATATCTTGCATTGAATCACATTGCTGATGAAGGAGCACAATCTCTAGCTACTCTATTGGAATATAATAGAGTGAGATGAATAATTTTAATCATGCTATTATTTATAAGTCTGTCCATCGTTAAACATAGGCACTCACCATAGTGGATCTTGCATTCAATCAAATCTGCATAAAAGGAATACAATATTTAGCAAGTGCATTACAAAAGCACTCGGTAAGATAACGTTCTTTTTTAAATGAATTATTTCAGACTTATGTTCATTGATAAATATAGACACTCATCACATTGGATCTTCGATATAATCAGATCGATGTCAATGATAGATCAATACTTAGTGAAATTTATGAATGTAATGATACTGAGAATACGCTCATATTATAAGGTTCTCTTATTGTCAAATGAATTTGTTTGTTTTTAAATATTTTTCTGTTGTTTATTTTCTGAATCATATTTTTACGACTTTCCCTTTTCTTATTATTCTACTAAAAATTTATTAAATTCAAACATTATTACATCGACATCCAGTTTCTGTTTCACATGTTATTATCATTATTGATATACCTTCTATTGAAAGAAATGAACATTGTATAGTATAAATATCGATTTTTCCTAATACATGTTCACTATGTCCAATAGTAATCAAAATATGTTCACCATAAACTCCAATAACATTTATTTGAAGACTATCAGATCCATTTGGTGCATTTTGTATAGATAAAAAACGTTGTCTAGTAATTGGTAATTGTTTATTTAATTCACCAAATAAAATCCAATTTGATAGTTTTGAATAAGGTACAAATACGAAAAGATGAAATGGTGAATAATGTGTTATTTTATCTTGTGCACATGATGGCATGAATATTGTTGAAGAATTTGTTGATGTAAACCAATAATAATCTATTGAATTATCAAGTTCAAAAGCAACATAAATATCAGATATTATTCTAATTGGATTATCATCCTCTTGTGTATTTAATAATTCAGTCCAAGAGAATATGTAAGATTCAGTTAAATTTGTTATCATAACATATTCAACAAAGAAATTTTGTTGTACATCAGAGCTATATGTATGCCACATTTCTCCTTTTGGACCACCGATACCAAGAAAAGTTGAATCCATTGCAGTTGCAGGTCGTTCTGGACGAAATAGAACACCATCCAAACGACATAATCGATTAACAACAGTTAAATTTGTATTACCAATTTTATCTGATATAGCAACACCACCTATCAAAAAAAAAAACATTCGCTATATGAGATCAATTGATATTCCTTCTATTTATATCTATCTCTTTTGTTATCTGTATGTAAAGTTTTAGATTGAAATTCAAAAATCAATTTTCCTCATGAACTACAATATTCATTAAAAACTAAATACCGCGAAAACTGAATTATCTTCGTAACAATAAGCTAAGAACTTGAGTTTCTTCCAGACTATTCATAACTCATTCAGAATCGAAGAAATCGAACTCATTGTTCATTATGTTCTCTTTCATCGAGAAAAAAAATGTATTATCTTTCTCGTATAAGAGACATACATTCTTTGATGAATATTCTAATGATTCTATGAATTGAAAATTTATCAATGAAATTTGTCTCTGTATCTCTATTATTCATACCTAAACTCATCAATGCAATCAATGCATTTAATTGAACATTTGGTTCTGTAAAATTTCCATATGGTGATTGTGGTTGTATTGATGTTGTCCAAAATGTATCTTTAAATGGTATAATACCAATAGCCCATGTAATCATTGATACTCGACCAATATTCCATTGATTAATATTTTCTGAATAATCATCACTAACGCGCATATAATGAACCTGAGTATTTTCTAATGTTTCTATTATATCTGGAATTAATGGCATACAATAAATTAATTTAATTCCAGCTTGTTTAGAACCTTCAGCTAAATGTAAATGATATTCACGAGCTGTATGAATATCCCATGATGAATCAGGCATATCTTCATAAACAGATGAAAGCCAATCTTGTATAAGAATTTCAACACCCCATTGTTTAATTTGTGAAAATATTTTATTAAAAAAAATTTGTTCTAATGGTAATGAAACTTTTCCATCACTACCATTTAAAAATTGATATTTATTTTGATATAAATTATCTGTTGAATAATATTTATGATGAACAATTAATGGTGTTTTTAATATTTCTCTTTGTAAAATTTCAATTCCATTTGGAAATACATCAGGTCTTGGTTCATATAATTTAATACCACCATGTTCACCCGTATTATTATTTTGTTTATAATACCAATAAGAATCTAATTCATAATATTGAATAGGAATATGTTCTTTTAAATGATATTCTTTTAATTTAATAAATGTTTGTTCATATGTTAAATTTGCTTCTTTATTATACCAATAATAAGCACCTGTATCTGTATAATAACCTAATTTTGATACATAAAAATCATTATGAAAATCTTTTTGTTCTTTAACATGTTCTTTTCCATAATATTGTAACATTAATTTTCCCCATAGATTGATTATTTGATTAATACCTTGTTTTGATTGTGATGCTAATAAAATTGTTGTTAAAGAAAATGATTGTTCTATTTGATGAATACGTCCATGTAAACCACATGATAAATGATAATTTAATGATGGTGAACGTGTTTGAAAATTTGTCATAAAATTAGTTAATGATGATAAAATAATATTTGAATCTAATTTTGTTAAATTATATAATAATAATGGATTTCCACTATATAAACCACCATTAAAAACATTTTTTAAACCTATTCCACGCATATTTAAATCCCAAGCATCTAAAAAAGTAAAATGACCTAATTGATCAATAAGATATTGATCAGTTTCATTAAATGAAACTTTAAATCTTGGAAATGCTGTTGATACATATTTAAATGTATCTCTTACATTTCCTTGTGACATTCCATTAAGATCAACAGGAAAATATTGTTCAAATAAAATAATTGATTGTTCTTGAAAAATTTTAAATGATGTTTCCCAAATAAAATTATTTGTAGTATTTATATATGACCAACGAAGAGATAATTTATTAAATAAACCAAAAATAACATCATTTCCAATTTTTTGATATTGTTCTATTAAATATAATGGTAACATTGGCATTATTTCTTGTTCTGGAGCTGATGAATAATATGTTTGATTAAAATGAATAACAAATGGACCACTTTCAAACCAAATTTGATTATCACGAATAATTCTATATTCATGAGTGTCAGAATTCCAATAGAGACTTACACTATTTTTATAAGAATGAAAGATTTGAATATTATTCATTGTTGGCATATTCTTGCATGTACACAACAAAAACAGACATGTTATGATGTAAAAATAATCAAAAACAATTTTCATTATTTTTTATTTTACGATCTAAAAATATCATACATAATTATTATTTTATTAACACATCACAAGTTTTTTTTTAATGTAGCTAAAAACTACGAACATAACCTACACTATCGTTTAAGACTGATAAACTCTTATCAATATCTTTCTTTCTTTTTCTTTTTTAGTGGCTATACTACTTTTAACACATATCTTTTTTAACGACAATAGCTCCTCCTATGCCACAACGAGAGAAAAAAATAACTATTTCAAATTTGATTCTCTCATCAGCTAAAATATGTTTATCTTAAATATTTATAACACTATCAGAAGCAATAAAAAGATAAACTTACATAATGATATACTCATGTGGTATCTAACATCGAGGGATTCATTTCAAGTTTTATCATTCGTGTTCGCATTCATATTGTTTTTGATATTGTCGTCGGTATAAACAAAATAGAATTAATTTCGATTTCACTTGGGTTTTACACATGTCGTTGTTCAGATCAACACTTTTATATTGTACATAGTAGAAACAGTGCATAGATATATCTCTAAACCATTGTATTTCACTCTACATTCCAGTAATACTTGGACAATATCATCTATCCTTTTCAAACAGTATTACATAAACTGTATCTGAACTAATTAATATGAACAGTAGGACTAACACGAACTCCACTAGCCACTTCGGTGCCTGGTACAACTAACCCGCCAATCAAAATGGATCAAATGACATGAATATTTATTTCATAATAGTCAACGTGTACAAAAACAGTAGCATAATGCTTGTATAATTGTAGGTAAGTATAATCAATGGGATTTCAACGTTATATTAAAGGTTCTTTCAGAAACTTAGTCAAAAAAAAAAAACATACGTGCAGGAAGCGTGAGTAATTTAGGAATAATATCGACGTAACGTACAAACGCATGTATACCACCATTAGGCTCGTTATTTATTCTCTGATAAACAATAAATTCGAAAAATCAGAAGAGAAAAATGTGCGAATTTCTACTTTAATGCTTTGATCAATACAACCACCTGCAAAATCAAATTTTAAATAGTCAATATAAATAGTCTGTCTAGTTTTTAAAAGAATATGAAATTCGATGGATTTGGTGTAACTTTGTGAATGAAATTGTTTATTGAATTTACAAAAATCAAATGATGAATAAATGCGACAAACGATGATAATTTATGAAGAGTAAGGCGTAAAACTACATCAATAAATTTTGAATTTTCGTAGCAAGCACAACATACAGCGGAGGCCACTGTCGTTGTTTGATTTCTAAAGAGTAATCATCATCATGTTATAGAAAAATAAATTCATTCTTGACGCAATGTTGCCGGTAATACTTCTAGTAAATCATCAAATTTTGCTCCACAATGTAATTGTACTTTTGTTATCGGTATAAAACTATTATCATAAGTCAAAAATAATTCTTCTATGTCTAAATGATCATGTCAGTAAGCTGCATGCAATAGAGTACCCTTGTGAATCGATAGCATTTGGTGACGAATCATCAAAATAATAATCGAAATTAGTTAAACGTTCTTCAACAAGCCAACGAACTAATAATGCTTTTCAATCATTTTCTAAAAATCAATCAAGTTGATTAGCAGCAACTTGTGCAAAACGATCATATTTAAAGATCGTCAAAAGTTTAAGCTATGTGACTTCTTGCTGCCTCTCATTCAATTGTATTGTTAAATCCATTTCGTTTACAATAATTAACACTATTTTTAAATTAATAACAAACAACATACGTATGCCCATAAAAAGAAACAACATGTAAAGTAGTAGATTCCGTACGTTGTTACTGTTGTTATGTTTAACATTCAGTGAAAGTTATTTTTGCTACTGAACTTTACAATCATGTGAAAGAAAAATCATTTTTGTCGTATCCTATTAACTGATCTCTCAACTCTGTTACTATTAACATTATTTTTCTAACAAATAAGAATTCAACAAATATATCAAAGAAAAATATTTTTCAATATTATGCATAACCCAAAACAAAAAATATTGAAATAAGAACCAGCAAGTTTGATAGTAAATGATTTATCGTGTGATCTTTCTTGATCTGTTACATTATTCATTAATCGTGAATTCTCAGCAAATTGACGAGCCAAAACACTAAGCTATAGAAAACTTTTGATTAATATTTATAAATTATTTTTCTTACTTGTCTAATATTTTCATCATTATTGCAATTATTTACATGACATTCCAATGTATAATGAACATGCTCATCTGTTAATTGATGTGGTCGATCAACTTTATTGTACGAATAGATAAAATAATTAGGATGGTTTATATTATATTTTATACATTTTCGTTCACTATGAGTTGATGCCCAACATTTATTATTATCAAATACTGAGCATTGTACTGTTTGATTTGCTTGATCATCAAAACAATTGATAAAATTCGATGCATTTAAAAAAAGAAAATTATAAAAACGACTAAGACTATTTCGACGATTATTTAATGAAATAAAACGAGGCCAAAAATGACGCAATTGCCGTTCTGTACATTGATCATGAGTTTGACATTGAAGTAAAACATATAATTGAATTTTATTATTATGATGAACTTTAACTTCGACAGTATAACGAAGAATAATTGAAGCTTGAGGATTTGTTGTAAGAAGATCAATGAAAGGATATGGCGATTGTGTATGTTTTGATGTTTTTTCAAATGAAATATCTACTTGTTGATTATCATAATCAATTTTAAGAAATACAGAACATGATGGAATTTCAATAGTAGAACATATTTCAAGAAATTTTTTATGACTAGGTACTGTTTGATTGAAACCAAATTTAATATGACAATTTGGACCTTCAATACAATTAAGTGAAACAGAAATAGGTAGAAAAAACAGTTTAATGAAAAGAAATAATAGAACCATTTTGTTGAAATAAAAATAAACAATGAAAAGCTGAATAAGGCGCGTCTAAATTTTTCAAAATAGATTAATATATTTATAATAGGATATTATGAAGCATAACATTTTTGCAAGAAGTGAATTATACTAGTAGACAAAAGTTTTTATTGCCCTGAAATTTCTCGTAAGACTCGTATAAGTAGACAGCACTAACCATTTCCTTATCAGAATCACCATTTATGTCGTCTTTCTAATTATACATAGGATTCAAAGCTCAGCCACAAGAGATTTAAGCGATTTGAATTCGATCTCGTCGACTAACTACAACGACTCTAAAACAGCATCAATAAATTGCTTCACTTGCTCAACAACAAATCATAGTTACAAGTCGAGACATTGCAAAGAAATTAAAGAGAAAATGAGTCATAGTTAACAAGAAAACAGTGTAACGGCACTTGAACGAAACAAGAGCGCAATAAAGTCGTCCCATGGCGAAGCCATCGAGAGAATCATTCAAAATAGGCTCAAAATCACAAAGCTACAGATAGAAAAAAAAAGAAAGTGGTGCGATATGTCAGACATCCTATCAACATCAATGTATGGGATGACTTCTGAAATCGAGACTTCGATTGTACTGTCTGCTTCAGAAAGAACCTAGTTGAAAATTACAAAAAAAGACAATGGACCCAAACACACGTCGAAACTGAACAAAGGGGTTCACACAATTGACTGGTCGTCAATGTCGCCAGATTTTGCACCCTCAAAATAAATTTACGAAGGCAAAAGCTCACAGCAGGTAAATCATTGACTTCTGCGCAATAAAGCGCGAATGGAAAACTCTACCATAGGAGTTGACCATCCAACTTGTATATAGTACTGTAACAAATCTTTGTATGAATACTTTTGTTATCATTGGTAAACACCTTTCCACAATGGAAGATCTCGGATCTTCTATCGTGACCCGTTTGTTTTCATAATTTTTAATTAAACTGATTTTTCAGAAAAGAAAAAGATTTTTAGGTTTTTAAAAGCTTAGAAATGACGTTGGTCTTAATCTTTTAAGCTCACAACTATACAAACTAGGTATATTTTGATTCAAATATACTAATCGAATTTTCAGTGCATCGAGATATTAATGAATTAAGAAAATTCATCAGTTACGTCAGGTGTATCGCTCCTCCAAGAGGACTCTTCTATTGTGGTTGCAGATCTATGAGATTTGGTTGTTGGTGTGACTGACTTTGATAGTCTTCTTTTCACATTTACTTTTACATCGAGACACTCTGATACTCAGCAACTTACATTCACACATCCATGTTCTTCTAGCCAAAAGTTCACTACTTGTACCGTTTATAATAAATATTATTATAACAACTAATCGTTTTATGATTCTCAAGTTATAGTTAACCTTATTATAACAATTTAATTTTGTTTATAAAAAATAAAACATTAGTCCATTCCCGAAAGATTACGGTTCTCATTCGAAATATTGAGTTTGGTTTCTTGTCTCACTTATTGATGGTTTTTCAAGGCCTACTTAGGTTTCAATCATCTTCATATTTCTTATTGCTAATCACAAGTAATTTCTATTTGTGGTGCAAACAAACTAAAACAAAGTGCAAATATACTATAGTACTTTTTTTCTATAATAAACAGTTTAGTTCATGACATTTTCATAATACCAACGACATTCTTTCGATGACGCACTGGATGTGATCGAACTTTCGAGTGTTGCTGCCCAACTGAAGTAACAATGGCTTGATTGCTTTCTGATACTGCAGGTTTTTCAAAATCTTGTAATTTTGAAGTTCTACTAGGTGATTGCTTGAGTTTGGTCACTCTAACACAACTTGTTCTCTGTGGATCTTCATTGATAACATCTTGACTATTGAAGTTTGTATTGATGGGATCATTGTGTTGTTGTGCACTGAATTCATTTGGTTTTATTTTAACAACTTTAGGTTTATGAACTGTTGTTGTTGCATTTTCATTCGATTGAACAGCATTACTCTTTTCATTATTGTCTATTGCTATCTTCGATGATGCAAAAGTAATATCATCATTAACATTATCTTGTATGAAATTGATATTACTTGAATTTCTATTGTCGTTATTGTCTTTTTTTGTAATATCACATTTTACTGCCTGATGTTTTCGAGAGAGTTTGGTAACATGAGTTATCGGTGACGATGAAATATTTTCTGACGATTGTCTTGACTTACTATTATATTCTACGCCTTTTCCTTCTACGTTTGATATTTCATCCGTTTGAATAGCAGAGGGTAGTGAAAATGAAATATTGTCTATACTTTGATGGAGAGTGGGTTTCTGCCATAGTTTATCATCTTTAAGTGAATGATCAATACTATTCATTGTCTCGAAAGTCGACACTTTATTATTCTTGTGAGACATGGAAAATAGACGCGCTTTTCGAGATGAGATTGCTGTCTGTATACTTGATTGAACAGTATTTGTACCATTTTGATTGTTATCTATATTATGAACTGCATAACGTTTCTTTGGCGTTGTAAAAGGATTGTTTCGAGAACGAATAAACTGGTTTAATGAAAAATATCTCTGCCATTGTACGTCATCCTTATGTTGTATTTGTCTGCGACTCCGTGCCGCTTTACTCCTATTAACAAAAATTTTACAAAATCCAAATGTCTTTCATATTTCCACGTAAAATGTTTATAAATATTGGAAGCTGATAGCATCTGTTTGCGAATCTTCAATCTAGTTTCTTGTATAAAGTGTAGGAAAAAAGTTTTGCACATCTCGTATTCTTTAGTTTATTTATCAAGGAAAACTTATCAAAGATATCCAAACAGTGACTCGATAGCTCTCAGGACAGTCTACAAAACAGAAATGTGAATAATTTTTACAACATAGATATTTTAATTTTTATTATACAACATTTTCTCTAGTGGAAAAAAATAGTCCGTTTTTTCGTTATCATATGCTATTAAGATTTAATAATTAATAAAATTGAACGAAATGATATACTTATTACTTCAAAATAGATCAGTGTAACTTGAAATTTGAAAAAACTAAATAGTATGTTTTGAAGAGTACCACTTGTTCTTCCAAATGACATGCCGTCCCCATTAGTACAATATTCTTTTGCAATTATTACAACGATTTCAAATTATTAACTGGAAAACTACAGTTTAAAGTTTCGTCTGAAGTTGACTTTTTTTTAAAGTAAGGAACACTATGACCAGTTCAAACTGAAAACACTCTAAATATCTCATTAAGATGATCTATTTTGAAATGATAATTACACAATTTGATAACAAAAGAATTAGCTGCACACTAAACATGTCCTAAACTTTTTTAAGCTGGGAAAAATGTTTTTGTGTAATAAAAAGTTAAATATTCGTACTCTTAAGTTTATTCACATCTCAGATCTGTAGGCCTTTCTGAGAACTATCGAAATCACTATTAGAATCTCTGGAATAAGTTGTTCTTGAGGAAGAATCTAAAATATAAAGGAATATACAAAAAAAATTTTTCTCCATGTTACAACAATGAAATATGTCATACATGCTTTTTTTGTCTTAATGATAAATTATCAACACTTACCAGCAAAAATAATAGAGTAACAAACAGGAACAAATGCACAAAACTAGTGTCAATAATGAAAAACCCACAATCATTGCAGTATTATTACCACTTGATGTTTTAACTGAAAAATTGAAAGAATAGTTTGGTTTCATTTATTGTGAAAATGTTAAATAGCTTACATGGAGTTGTCGCTACGACAGATACTATACTAATCATAAAGAAAAAAAAACAATGTTTAATCACACAGTTAACAATATCTTATAGCGATTTATTTTTAGTATCGGATTAAAGATCCAATACTTACGTTGTTATTGGACAGTTTGAAGTTGATGAAGTTACCGTAAACATTACGCAATATGATATTGATTGGACGAATAGACTAAATAATTAAAACAGCAACTTTTCATAATAATTAATATTATGTATAAGAGTAAAATTATACTTATTAAAAGCAATGATACACAATTCTTGTTGTCCAATTTGACTTGATTGTGGTGTCCAAGTAAAAGTAACATAAACCAATGAGGAATTCTTTGTCGAATTAATTAAATTGCCAGCTGTCATACCTGATATTCTTTTTGATACAATAATGTCTGTAATACTAACAGTTGAACCACAGAGATTCATTGCATATAGAGTAATATTTATTGTTACACCAATTTCAACTTCCGAACAGGATGTAAGAGGAAGAATAAGTGGTAATATCAAACATGTTGGTGTTGATAAAACATAAATTAGAAATTGAACGGGTACTGAACTCATTGGAATAGTACTTGTGTCATTAATAAAATCTTCTACCTATCAAAAATATCAAATACAAATTTGAATAAGGAGAATACAATAATAATTTATTGTTAAGAATAAAATTAATTTAAATCTTGTTGTATACCTGGATAGATATGGCATACCAAGTATCAGGTATCAAACCTGTAAATGATATAGTACAATTTGACAACGTAGTATCATTTGGTAAACCACTAGGATAACATATGCTACCACATTCGTCAATTGGTGGATGCAGAAATGATGATGTTGATAATGTCGTACGAGTTGTCGTAGTTACGGCAGGACAAAAAGGAGATGTTGAACATCGAGTACCAGTACACGTAGTATCGTCACAAGCGGGACAACTACAAAGACAGTTGTGCGAACATGCACCAGAATTGCATGATGAACATTCTTGTCTTTTCTTTCTTATATATGGAATATTTCTATCGGTGGTCAAAGATTGATTTATTTGATCAGGAAATTCTGAATTCATAAGTGAATTTTCATCTATTTGTCTTCGTTTGCGATAACCTGGTTGATAAACAGACCATCGACAACGAATATCGTCACCTGTATTGACATCTGAGACAGGTATATTAATTTGAGTTGTTGTATTTACTATAACGTATTGTGGTGAAATTACACTTGCTACAGGTGGAGTATTGAGAATACCATCATCCCGCATTCGAAGATCAATCAAACTTAAAATTGACCAAGCAAGATTACTCTCAGGAGGATCATTTAATTTTCTCCAAGCCGATCCCGTATACGAGATATAAAAGTAAGCACTAGTATTAAGAGTTATATTAACTGATCGTTCACTTAACATCATGCCTAATGAAGTACTATAAGAAATGCAATCTGTTAGAATATTAACAGGTGCTAATGAATAATCTCCATCAGTAGCACAGTTTGAAACACATGTTAGATTAGTATTCCAATTACTATAGGTACTAGTTGTGATAGGCACATCGGTTGTACAAGTTACAGTAGGATAAGTCCATGAATAAAGTTGTGTAACAGTTATATTTACTATAGATGAATTATCAGAAGGATTTATAGGAGCCCATGTAATCGTACCACCATTAAAATGCGATGCATTTGTGCTAGTCAATGAAAATAAAAATAATAGAAGTAAGATATTCATTTTCTTTTAGCTTTTGACAAATAAAAATGAAGAATAAAATCTCTCCAACTTTCACTATGAATAAAAACTTCTAATAAAAACAAAGAAATTCAATACATGTTACTATTTTGAAATTAAAAGAAAATATTCATGTAGACAAAATATAACAGACATTATAAAATAAATAAAAATATAAAAATAATTGACATCAATAAATGCAAGAAAATATTTCATTTCTATATTATTTCTTTTTTAATTCAATAAAATTATTCATTATTGAGACATAAGCCAGTGTCTTATTTATTTTCATGAGAGCTTTTGCAACGATTATAACGAGAAAAATCTTGTTTATTAGTATACCCATTAAAAGAATACAGATATAGAAGAAAACAATCAGTCATATCATTTGATTTTATATACAACCGAACATATTGCTTCGAAAATAGATGCACGAATTGCTCATTAAAAACTGCGTCACATCAATAGTCAAAAAAGCAACGTCAACGTGGTTTATTAAAGAACAAAGAAAAAAATGCCAAGTCTTGCTCGTGCGTATGAATTAATAAAGGTTACTGTAAAAAGTTTGAAAGGCAAAATTACGAACAAGCGAAATTCCAAAGACCGAAGTGTTGAAAAAGTAAAATCCCGAAATAGAATTTCGTGTAGTTAAAATTTCGACAGATATCCTCGCGTTCTATTACTCCTTAACCACTGTCTGTAAAAAAGAAACAATGGTCATGACCATATTTGTTATAACTCAAGAATGGCAAGAACAAAAGAGCTGCGGTTTTCAACATCCCGAAAGAGAAAATCTCGAGGCATAAAATCAAGTCAATTTTAGTCGATCTGACAGTTGAGCAATCAAGCAATGCTTTCAAATAACACTTTCAGTTGGGCTTTCTAGAGGATATTTCCGTTTAATTTTAAACTCAAAGGGAATCTTTCGGTAGAAAAAATTGTTCTCTTTCAATGTGCGCAAATGCCGTACTCAGTAGCTTGTTCTGTTCAGGAACTATATGCACTGTTCTATGAGCTCTAGTTTCGATCGTTTTACCGTATACCAATCTACAATAGATCTGGACAGAGATGAGTGGTTAAGTTGAGTCAATCGATGACAGTTGTTTGCAGTTTCAAAGAGACCTGAAGTCATTAGATGAAGATTTTGGAAACTTAAAATTTTTGCCACTTGGGGGCATAAGAGTCGATACGTGAGAAATTTCGATTTAGTGACTTCAATTCGTTTGTGAAACCACAAACAAATATCACCGATTGACTCAATGTCGCCACTTATTCCTGTCCAAAAAATTTTTTGTCTGATTCAAAGTAAAGCGGTCGAAATCGAAAAGCTCATTGCAAAATACTTATAACTCACGATCAAAACATATTAGTGAGATCAGCGTCACACACATCGAAATAGAACAATTTTCTCTAGCGAACGATGTCTTTTGAATTTCAAATCGAATGAAAAACCTTCTAAAAGAACCGTCCTGACAATGTTATTCGATAGCTCATTTGATTGATCAACTGTTAGACCAATCAGAATCGATACAATGTCATGCCACGGAGTCTTCTCTTTCGAATGTTTAAAAACGCAACTCTATAGCTCTTTTAGTTCTTTAGCTGAAGTAAATATAGCTACGGCCATTGTTTTTTTTAACAGACAGTAGTTTCATGTAAATCATTTATTTGCTAACCTCCAGAACGAAGAATTTATTGATCTTCAACAAATTTTCAAATTGACTACGGATAAAAAGAAGGACAGCAACGAATTTTCTCACTCCAATGGAGGCAAACAAATGATCTTTCCTTATTAGCTCTTGTACGGCTTTTCTACTTCTTTGTCATGATTTTTTAAAATAAAATGATAACTACAAAGACATGCTGGTTGATTATAGCATTGATATCATATGCTGCAAAATTGTCAAACTTTTGACATCACACTAAACAATTAATAGATGCTAAATAACCTTGTGAAACGTTTTTTACTTGAAAATCTCACAGGTTTATTGTGTATATATCAATAATGTAGTCAACGTGCCCAGCGTCTGGATACACAAATTTTCAGCAGGCTCCGACCGAAAAAACGGGAAAAATTAAAGCAGGAATTCGGTGATAAGATCCGGCCGTTAACGACCCATGTTTGTTGTCCTGGGAAGACAAGATTAAAAGCAGTTATAACACATGATATTACATCTAAATAAGTTAGTTATTAAGGATAATCATAATCAAATATCTTGATAATTCAATATTTATCAATATTGTTGTTACGAATGTTGAACTATATTAATAAGAACTAATGGTTTCAACTAGTGATCCTTATAAGACGAGCATAACATACTATAAATATAAACGAAATGGACAATTAGTGAATTTATTGGTTATAAGAAAGCAAACTATTTTTGATGATTTTAATAGAACTGAGGAAAATAATAATAAAATCAAGAATTATTCATGTTATTTTGCTTATTAGAAAAAATAAAATGGCTCGTATTATTGCGCCTAGTGTGAAATGAAAATAATTATTTTTCTACTGACAATCCTTCATACCCGTCAGTTATTTCATTTAAGTACATATTATACATGCAAGTAAACATCATTAAACATCTTCAACTTACCGTTGAATTGCTGCTCTACTTGCCTTAGGCAGGAAGATATACTAAATAGAAGTACATAAAAAAGATACAAAAATAAATAAAAGCAAGAAATTCAAGCGAAATTCACACTATTTTTAGAAAACAAGATTCAGACATTAAATTGAGCCCACTATTGCACCAATGATAACTTCTGGTTTTCTTCAAGAAAAACTTTTTGGTTCTTTCACCGATGATCAACGCGACTTTGTTCAAGCACAAATCAATATGATTAACGAAACCGCTGTGAGTGTGAGTGGAATGTGGGTGTTTGGGTATGATATTTATCCACACTCATCCACAGTCAGACGCACTCACACCCATCCACCCACACCTACAGTCTCATTGAGATCTAGATGATAGTGGATTGGGGTGGGCTGTGGATGGCTTGGAATGGACCGTTTGGAATGCTATCTGACTTTTTGTTAAAGGATTTTAAAAGATAAGGACTTGATACTTAGGTTTTATGAATGGAGAATTTGAAGCTCTATTAATTGATAATATATTCTAATGAAACGGCTCTGGAGTGGGTGGAAGCATATTTTACTGATATTCTATTTAGTTTTTCGTACAATGCTCTGCATGAGCTCAAAGTTTTTTCTCACAAAAAATACCGAATATGAAGTTCGACTCTAACCGTGTTGTAAAATACCCTAGCAAAAGAAATCAAAGAAGTATTTCATTTCAAGGTGAAGAACACCGTAGAACGCGCTTTTATCAGTTGTATAACAAGGAGGTAAATAGAAGTGTTATACAACCGAGTAAAGTGTATGTGGGAGTGACTAGAAAATATAAGAAGCAAAGAAAAGCGAAAAAAATAATAACACCATACTTCAGTCTTTCAAAACGACCTTCACACTTTCACTCTCTATAGCTTTGATTTCATAATTTTTTGTTTTCCAGAAAATCATCATATTCACTCGCAAATATGCAAGCAGAAGCAGATAAATAAAAGGGACAAGACGATGGAACCAGCGAGGTGACGGAATCGCAGTAAAGCATGGATCTTTCTGTACCTCAACGGTAAGTTTGAACAATGTGAACCGTAACGAGTCGAGTATCTATGAGATAAGGATTTCCTAAGAAAAATGCTTTGAAAGAGCTTTAAACGGTACGTACTAAGTTCCTATTTTCCTAAAACTACTATCCTCAGTATGAAACATTTGTGTTATCCAGTGTTGATGCCGGTAGAAATCAGTATGAGACTTAAAACTGCTATTTAAAAAGGTGACAGTTGAGAAAAACGACAAAAGTTAAAATGATTATACTTAGGTCATAACTCTTAACCATACTTATAACCTTCAACTCGAGTTATAACTTTCGATCGCAGTTATAACTATCAACTATTTTAACTGTTAACTCTTTATTAGGTTGAATCAATTTAATTAAGTTGAAATAAAAATTCTTTTCATTTAATTGAGGATGTGGGTGTGGATTCCTACCCCACACCCACACCAACACCCTTTAGGAGGCTCTAGAGATGATCGACCCCATTCCAAAAAAGTTTTTTCGGTTTTTCCTAGCAGAAAAGGTTAAAAATGAGCTTAAAAATACGTTTTATGATTATGATCACCCACCATCCCCATGGAAGCGCCTCATGTCAAAAAGATCCTAGATTCACCACTGCATAGGAACTATTTTTCTTCTATGAAAGTTATATTTTTAATTCTTTGATGGATAATACTTTGAAGTTTAAGTTTTACTAACAGTTTCAAAATAAGTTTTACAGAGGTTTCATAGAAAAAAACACACTTTTCACGTTTCTAACTAAGGAAGAGGCTTTTTCACGAGTTTCAGATGCCATATAAGGAATTTAGCTGATAAATATGACATTTGATAAATAATTGATTTTTGAGATAAAATAGAAAATTTTTTTTTTAATTTTTTTTAAAAGCTCAGCAATATTCGTTACGATTATGTTTTAGTTAGCATCGCTTTAGGCTCCGTCCTTATTTATGTTTTTTCATTGTTTTATGTTAAATGCTTTTTAGAAAATTATGGAATTAAGGACAATATGCATGCCATGCAGATCATTCTTCTAAGGTAGCATAATGAAGAAGACATTTGTAAATCTTGTTTTGAAGAAATTTCACAAAGTCAAACTTAACTCAAACACTTGAAATTGTTTTTATGGTTGGCTTGTTTCTACTAGAGCACCCAACAGGATTCTTTCGATATCTTACTTTTTCTCGAGTGTTCCAAAGCTTCGATAAGTATCGATGGATCGAAGAGCCCTCGATGAGTCGAAAATGGGTGCCCAATAGAACAGTTTTCTGGTGCTCGAAATCGAAAACAGAACGAACAAAAAAGTGCATTTCATACTTTCGAGCGCTTATCTCACCCATAGTATGCTTTTTATTGTGTGGTTAGGTCTTGATGAAGAGAATAATGAACCGAATTGGATTTTAGCTTCAGTGTCACTTATTACAAAATGTAAACGTTGATTTTTTATTACTAGTTATTGTTCAACAAATATACATGGCTGGAGAAGACTTAAGCTGTCAAAACTATTATTGGCTCATCTCTGATACATATTACTATGCGCTTAACCGCTACTAAGATGATTTCATCATAAAAAAAGATTCACTCAACATATAAATATACATTTTGACAATATGCTTAATATTACTTTTTATTAAAATTAGATTTATTTTGCAGAACAGGTGCGTATTTCTTAATGCATAGGTATGTTAAATTATTTCATTTCTGGAAAAGAACGTGGAATCATCATTGACTGACTGACGAATCAGGAGAAAAGAAGAGCTAGGCATCCACTTGAGCTTCGCTCGAGTAGGAAATAGGCGGCTGACTACGCGAGCCCGAAAAATGTGAAAACACGATCTTATACGACATCTGCTATTTGCAAAGCATACACTCACATAGAGGGTATCATAATAAATTTCAATCGCGTTCAGCTATCTTAGCTAAGACCTTGTCTACACTAGAAAAATAATTCAGTATTAATTTCGAATTAGAACTATGTGCGTCTACACTTATGAATGTAATCCGTCAATCAGAACTGAGAAATAGCCACTATAATGTAGTCGAAGTGTATAACTCTATCACGCTTTCACGAAACAAAATTTCGCTTCTGTCGCTCTTTGATAATTAATGGCTGCCTAATGAAATTTGTTAACAAAGTATCTACCGTTCGGACTTATTTCTTTCAAAAACAGACTCGTTAAATAGTGTACTATTTGCTTAATCTTATGCTTCAATCCTGATTCGCTTATATTCTATAGTTCATCATGTTGAAAATAACCCCTGTTGCAAAAGTCTTAAGACAAACTGTTTTGTCATTTCTCAGTCGCCTAAATGTTTTTAGTGAGACTCAAAAGTGTTTAGCTAAAATCAGAATTTTGTGCTCTTTCCGAATACGTAATCATAATATTTCTGTGACTTAGAATTCATTAGAAACTAGCCAAATGTTTGACAGAATCGAAAATGATGTTTGAACAGAATTTGATTGACTGTATTTTGCGTTTTGACCAAAGCCTACTCAATGCAAAACATGAAGGATATTTTCATCAGTCACTTTTGTAGAGTGAAGTTTGCTCTACAAACTATGCTACCTGCTTTGACTTTCTATCTCGGAGCAAAGAAACAAAATCTGTTGCATTATAAATATGAGATTTCAGAAAACCGACTTTTTGATAGAATTTGATTGTACATACCAACCAGTTCTCAGAAAAACGTCTACAGCTTTTTAATAATTTGAGTTCAAGGCTATTGTAAAACATGATTTTATAGAAAATTGAATGCTCTACAAATTCCCAATTTAGAACTGTTTCAAAATACAATGTACATAAGAAAATAAATAGCAGGTAAAACATCTACTTTCTTCGTCGAGATGTCATTTTTCGTCCCTTTCCAGTATTAACTTACAGCCAATCGACCTTAAGTCAAAGAGATATTCTGAATACATATTAGAAAAGAGCAGACCAGGTAGACTCTAACGAGCTACTTTTGATTCGCATCAGATAATCCTAGCGACTGAAAAGTGAACAAACATTTATACAATTTTTTTCTGTACAAATGTCATTTTTGATTCTGTCAAACATTTGGCTCATCCCTAATCAATCGTAAGTCACAGAAATCTTATGATTATATATTCGGAAATAGTCCAAGATTCTAACTTTAGCCGACCAATATTTGAGTATCACTAACTACGTTTAGACGACTGAAAAATGACTAAATATTTTGTTTCAAGACTTTTGAAATAGGGATTATCTGTCTATCGATGATATAAAGCAACTTTATTGAGGGACATTCATCATTTTAATTAGTGGATCAAGCTCTTTCTCGATTGGTGCATTAAATTTAAGTCGTCTTTGAAAAGTGAATTAAATCTGAATTAACTTTTCGACCGACCACGTTTCTTAATTCACCATTGACTTTTCGAGTATAGACAAGGCCTACGTTGACTAGTCAGAGATAATTAGATTGCCATTCAGCGCTGTGCGTTGGATGGGATGTCGATTGATTGCAGACAGGACGTCCATTTTGAGGGAGCGTACTAGTTACTTCATTTATCTCATTGAGTTGCGCAGCTTGTTTCAACAATGATTAGACTCATCAGCTGAGTACCTTGTTTAGGATAGGTTTTCCTTGTATTTTATTTTGTGATTTATAAAATAAAACTAAAATATGGAATATAGCTCGAATGATATTCTATTGCAGTATAATTGGTTTTGACAACATTTTCCTAATGCTTTTGAACGTGTCGATTTAACCGTTTCTCTTAACAGCCATTCCACGTAAGCCACGACCAAAGGTGCTCAATCGAGTTTCTCTAAACTTGATTTTCATTACATAGACCAAAAGAGAAATTAATTCTGAGTTTTTTGCCACCAACCGCAGCTCTACAACACAAACCGTTGCTGAGATATTCAATTTTTAAACACAACACCGATTTTTTTCGTGGTGATTTAGGATTGATTAGTTTTTAATAATGAGTGTGCCATTTTCGAATCGCTCAACGTAGAGACCCGAAATTTTCAGCACAAGTACAAATTTCATCAGGCTATAAAACAGCAAAAGCCCCAACTCTGGATGACACTTTGTTCTCAAGCTATAGATGTCGCTAGTAGTAGAACTTCACCATTNAGAGTCGAAAAATTGGCGACTGGAAAGAATTCATATACGACAAAAAACACGCAAAAACTAAAACTTGCCAAAAAGTGTAATAAAGTTTCAAAACGATTTCTTTCATTTTGAGATGCCGAGGGATGATTAATCCATTGGTTTAAATGTAATTCAACCCAAATTTCTATACAATTCAAGGCTATTCCCATAGTATAATTGAGTTTTTCCATGAATTATTTAGTCGACGGTATATAATCATCTTGATTAACGTAACTGAATTCACCATAATTATTAGAACCTGAAAAAAAATCCAATGTTTGACTCAAGTTTTGATTATTCAGATAAGCATTTAATTCTCGGCACAAATATTTGTAAGTATTAGAATCATTCAATTCGAAATTAGTGATAAATAATTTGGAATTTCTTTCGTCTTTTATTTGAATGACTTTTTGCCAATCTGATTTTGGAAGAATTTGATTAATTTTCATTTGTATTTCATATTTCATATTCTGTACCCATTCATTCACATCATTTACATTAATAGACAATAATAATTGTTCAATTTTATTTACTCTTCGTACAATTTTTCGAATACAGTGAACTAATAAATCAGTAGATATATTAGAATCTGCTTTGCCAATAACATATGTAAGAAAATGAATAATCAATAATTTATAAATAACGGTACCAATGTGTCTCAAACGTTTAGTGAGAATGATATGAAATACTACTTTCATAGTCATCCATAAACCAGAACGTCGAAAAGGTATCTTGGCATTATTCCATCTGATCTGATCACGATGTTTTTTCTTAAATTGGATAGAAAAATTAGAATTGTTTTCTATTTTAATTCCTTGAAATTGTTGAATCCACCATTGACATACATAATGTGATTCTGGTACATCACGTATTTCATATACTTGTCGAGAAGCTTTAAAAGATTTAGAATATTCAATGGTGTTGCGCATAAAATCCATCAACAATTCACAATGAACTTGGGAGCTCAACTGAAATCGATCATTTAATCTTTATGTTGTTACTGGAAAGCAAGAGAGATGAGGAACAAGAGCAGAAGTAATTTCTGCAGTTGGTAATAAGACTTGCCAAGATGAGACTAATGGTTGTTGAATATTGTTTTCTTCAATTTCAATTAGAATTGCAGCATTTTGAGCATGATAATAGAGTGGAAGAAAACTTCCTGGAGTTAATCTCATAATAATGAATTGTAAATTTGATTCAGTAAAGTTTTGAGGATTCTGTAAGACAGACCAATGTTTAACGCAATGACTAAGCACTGATAATATTGTCAACTTATTTGTATTATTTGTTGATTCAAACAGATTCAAATATTCTTTCATATATTCTAATACCATGTGTTCATATTGATGATTGTTTTTAATTAAAAAATCATCGCCGGCAGAAGGCGATAGATAATGTGGAAGGAACAAATGATTTAATATTGATTCATTCATAACTTCGTACAGTAAGAAAATGTTGTGACTAAGTATGATATTTGCTGAGATGTTCTAAAAATAAATAAATTTATCAAAATCCAGACGCAAGCATAATCAAAAAATTGAGAGACAAGAATGAGAACGTGAAAAAGAGATTCATCATACATAATGAAAAAAAAGTGAGAAGCCAAATCAATATTATCCTATATCATTACACATAAACAAAAGCAAAAGACATTCAACTATTGCTGCAAAGTTCAGTAACACGATTTATTCTTCATGTCGTAAAAAAACGTTTTCTTTTTGCCTAGGCATCTCAAAAACAAGTTCGACTTTCATCAGATATATTGAGCAACATAAGAGCTATTTGTACGAACGAGAACAACAATAGTTTCATTAAATAACTATGTTTTTGATCGAAGAATAGCCATTTCTTTTGTCTTGCATATAATTAGTCATGATGCACAAATAATCAGTCAGACAAAATCGATAAAAAACGTGGGTGTGAGTGTGAGTAAACAGAAGATCTACATTCAGATATCCACGCTCACCGACACTTCATCCACACCCACACCCATCCGACAATTGCAACAATCGAATGCACTGTGACTGCAAATGACAAAAGAAGACAGCTAACAGTATCTCTCAGAGTGTGGGTGTGGGTTAGTGTGGGTGTGAAGAGAAGTATCAAACAAGTACTCACAACAAGCTGGGTAGTGCTTACTCGGACTGGTGGATACCTAGCCCCACCCAGACCGACTCTGACCGAGCCCGAGTAGCTCGATCTAGGCTCCAACTCGGTATATGCCTAATTTATGATCCATCAATATCTGCCCGCCAAATTGTATCAATCTTCGCAGTTAAAATATGTATGCAGATTTTCACCAATTCATGTTGTTTTGATGTGAAAAAACAAGGAATTTGGATCGATAATATCGATATCAGGAATGAGTTAGTTATATTCAACAATGTGAAACTTGATCCTTTTATCAAATAATGTTGGCTTTAAGATTATGTTTCTTCAGTGTTTTCATATTTTCTTTGCTTCTTTTGTCTTATCTTTCTACTCAATTCCTTCTTCCCTTTCAGTATGTGTACTATAGGTCGTGCAAATGCACCTCGCGCACGTCGCCGCCATTACTGACAAAAACGCCGCGCAAATCAACTGTGTTATCGAGAGTGTGAGTGTATGGGTGTGGGTGTGGGTATGGGCAATACTGTTATCATTGAGACCCACACCCACACCCACACCCGCACCCACCCGTACCCACCCGCACATACACCCACACCCACACCCACACCCTTTCCTACCTAAATGCAATAATTTAACTATTACTCATATTATATTGATTTAAATGACGTCATGTTGGAAGAAAAGAGTTATCAAATTGCGCACGACAAAATTTACAAAAATCCTTTCAGTCGATCGTAGCACGGTATAAATACAAGGCAAACAGTGCAGCTCACATCATCTCACGAACTTCGCCGAACATCGAAAATCTTGCGCAAGTATAGTTGCGTTTTCTTTTTATGGCTGACACAAATTGTATAGATCAACTTGCGTTATAAGAGAAATACACAGTCTTCTATAGTTATATTTCTTCCGATTCAAGTTAGTAATTGCACTAAAAGATCTCATAAGTGATTCATAAAAATATCATGCCGAATTCAAATACTCTTAATTTACTATAGTGAATGACAAAATGTATCGGACATCGTAAGTCATGTATTCGATCATTTTAGATTCTTTATTAGAAATGGGCAAGCACGTCTTTCTTCTGCTGTTTCTTCTTGTTGGTTTTGCTGTAAGCGAAACTAAATTCGAGTTTCCCACAGAAGCCTGTGTAGGTGGCTTCGTCTCTGGCAATTATTTAGGCTGTGCAGCGGCGTTGGCTAATTCCATTTGGAAGATTCATCAGTGGGGTGAAGATACGCCAATCAATGTGTGCGACAATCAATGTACGGGCAATCTGAAGGGTCGCTTTTCAAGTTGGAAATGGAAGTGGGATGCCAAGTTCCAGTGCTCAACGAAAGGCCAAGGAATCGTGGGACAATCTACCGCATTGAGTCGTGATGGGGCCATGGAGGGGGCTATCAACGATTGGATCACGAAAGCATCACAAGCTGGTGCTATCAACATTAATGACTTCAAATGTTGAGTTGTTGAGTCTCATGAACAAAATTTGTATATTTGTAATCAAGCGTTGTGATTTTACTTTTCAATAATAAAGATTTGCAGACTCTCACAATCAACAGGGACATCCTCGAGGACGGGTGTGAGCGTGTAGAGAGCAACTCTAACCGATTCCATCCTTCCTTAAGAGACTCATCAGGAGACTCAAGCAGAGGTACAGAATCTGTCGTAAGAGCGAAAAATTTCCCCAAGCGCTAAAATTATTTCGAAAAATTTCCCCAACTAAAAAAAATAAAAAGTACAGCTTTTGTGTATGGAATATGTATCTATAAAGAAAGAACATTGAAAAAAAGCTAATTAAGACAAATAGCGTTATATAAAAGATAATCTGTTCTATTGATCCTCGATTAACTCTGGTAATCTTGGGACTTGTTTTTTTCTCAAACAATTCAGTACAACAGAACCAGATGATATAAGTTTCCATGTTTGATATTGTTCACTCTTTTTATAAAATAACCAATTTTTCTCCTTCTTGCTGTTGAAGTAATCATCCAGTGAATGTTTGATAAATGAATCAGCGAGATGCAACGGAGGAGCATTCCAATGAAGCATTACTTTGCTATCTACGGAATCATGATTTAATGAACGATTACCATGTATATGTCCTTTTAAAATTGACGCTGCTGATTCACATATCGCTTCGGTTCTAATTTTGAGTACCATTAATGAATGAAAATAGAGAAAATCACTGATACCGTTGGATAAATCTCTACTTGTATAAAATATTTTCATTACTTTTGATGTGATCAATTCTCCATTTGTTGTCCAAATGTCCACGGTTTCCTTGTCTTTAATTTCATGTAAAACTCGTTGCTTCCATTCGGAGGATTGATCTTGTATAGCATTTTCATCTATCTGTGTATATTCTGAGTTCAACAACGTATAATCAATAAGTCCTTGTAATTCAACTCTACCATAATCAAGCATTGTTTGTTTACCTGTTGATACCACCTGGTCGTATAAAGGTGAAACGTCTAAGCAGTTTTTCATTAATATAAAAACAGATGGTATCTCTCGAAACCGTGTTGTAATGGTTTCAACTAATTGTTGACATAATTCGATCAATTTTTTTCTTGCATTTGTAGTTGGATCTTTCATATCATAATCACCAGATTGCCTAGTGATTGGACGTTGTTTGAATCCACATTTCAATAGATCTTGATAATATTGTTCAATATATTTTGCCGATGGCATCCCTCGGACTCGTGTTTCTTCGTCGTCTTCTTCTTGTATATCACAAGCGTCATCGATTGTTGGTCCGAGTGAGCCAACTGGTTCCTCTTCTTCACATTCTAACGTAATAAGATAAAAGTGTGTATTTCAAAGATGACAATATTTTGGAATCTAAAACAAGAATTTACCTTCCAAACTATCCATTTCCTGCGTTTTATTTAAGTCTAATTATTAGAGTAATTTACTATATTCATTTAAACATTTTTGTAAGTATCGAATTGAATCATCATGTTCCCACGGGTATTTATTGACTTGTTGCACAGACATAGATGCTCGTACAAGAATATTGTAGATATCATTTAGACCAATAAGTTTACAAACAAAATCTACAGATTTTATATCGTCATGCTAAAACAGAACAAGAAGTGATTCTGGCGAAGTAAAAGTTCTGATCACTGCTTACTTTGAAACTAAAATTATCTCTATCACCTGCTTCGCATTCTGTATGAATATTTCGTCTTGTTCTTGTACTTACATCTCCACCTCCTAATGAGTTAATTACACAATCTTGTTCCTGTAAATAATACAAAGTTGTCCAATCTCTTAATACTGTTTCGTATACACGAAGTTCACATTGAACAAAACGGGTAACCTGAAATTGTTTTGGTTGTAGTATCTGTTCTTCGACTAATTCAGCTGCTTCCAGTAGATGCTCATATTGCTTTCCATATGAATATTTGTTCATGAGCGTACCACATGTTTTAATGAATCTTTGTAACCAGAAAAATTTACTTTGTTTCTTTGCATCATTTATTGCTAATTCAAGTAAATGCGCGCTATCCCATGACACTATTAGCCATTTTTCTCGCATTCCTAGTTTTTGACATAGATGTTTTTCGATTTGAAAATTAACATAAGCACCATCGACGGCACAACCAGTTAATTGTTCTTTTAATGCTGTTCTTTTCAAACCAAATGATTCTAGTAGTCGAACACAATTACCCGCTAAATCTTCCCCCGTTAACTCTGTTTGACAAAATGGAGATTGAAGATAAAGAGGTGTTAACTGTCCGTCGATCATTACTATCATAATTGTCACCTGCATCGACCTTTTTAACAATGTAACTTTATCCAATGTTATGCCAAATGGTCGACGACGTTTGTAACAGATCAACTGAATGTAAATATTCAGTAATTCTGTTTTTCATCGTTATTGACATCGACGTTCTTAGTTTCTCGAAAAACCACCGGCTGTGTCTAAACATGCATAAAGACAATAAGGTCTACCATAACACGGACAGATTTATCTGTGATTAAATAGTTTTATCTACCTATAAGTTCCAACTGATGCTCCAGACAGATCCAATAAGTTCAATGTTTCAACAAACTTCAGACCACCAAGACCACTTTGAGTACAAAATAAAGCTGCCCTGCCAACGTTCAATTCAGCTTTCTCATTTTTTCTCAAAAAATCATCGAAAAACTGCTTTTTCTTTTCATCTTCTTCTACACACCAAATGTGTAGTTTGTTTAAATGATGTTGCTTCAAACTGTCCTTTAAATTTCGAAATCGTCGAGACTGAACTTGAGCCGCGTCTTGTTCAATATATTCACATAAGCCAAACGAAGATTTGATTGTACTTAATAAGTGTTTTGGTGCGTAGTTTTTAAACTTTCAACATGGTGTGCACGTAATAGTATCCAACTGATTATTTATTTTTATGGGTTTCAATGAATATAACTCATTCGAACATTTGATATTTTCGAATAGTTGTTCAATATCATCGGATTGTGGTATTGACGATAAATGTTTTTTTGCTTTGTCCGAATTCATTTGCTCAATCGTCTCTGTTAATTTTTTCAGTTGTTTCGACATCAATAGTAATTGATCATGAACGGAATAGGTCGTCGGACTCGTCAAAACAACACTAGCAGGCATGGGCGAGGGATCCGAATGGATGAGCGATGGGAGTGAGGGTGAAATGATGATAGAAGATTGGCGTTCTTGTTCCTGTTCGTCGTTACTGATGACGTCTGTAACTTTTTCTGTTTCTTGAGGTATTTTTTTAAAGAAATTTTCCATATTGTTTTCCGCAAACTTCAGTTTGAACGTTTCACCAGGATGATTTCTTGTACAATGATCGTTCGCTTTATCTTTACGACCATTCCAATCACAATAAAAACATGCTACTTGTTGTTTACTTGGAAACATTTCTACTGCTCAAATCGTAACAATTTAGTGATCTAAAGTCAAAGTATAAACACAGTATGACAGAAGAGCAATATGACAAGAAAGAAAGGTAGAAAGAACACCAAGAAGCAAGACAGTCACTATAAATAAATAAGTAATAAGTAAATCAGAGGGAGTATTTAGTAGTCTTGTATGATGAGTCTCTTACCATTATATCATCAATACCAGAACAAAACAACGAATGAAGCATCATACCAGAACAACAGAGAGAGATATCGCGTACACATACCACTTACATGCACTCATGCGCACGGAACAATAGAACAGAACACATGCAGCTAAGACGAAGAAAAAAAACATGAAGAAAGAAAAATAAACCAACAAGAGAGATAGTTAATATCACAAAGGCAAGAAACTTGTGGATAGCGCCATGACGCTTGGTATTTTTTTACATAGAAAAAGTTACTTTTTGAAACAACCTTGCAATTAACAAGTTTTCAAAAATTTTCTCTCTTCACAATTTTTCAAAAGATTTCCCACTCCACAATTTCTCAAAATTTATTCACTTAACAATTTTTCAAAAATTTCCCCCAGCGCGCGCTGGCGCACACGGGTGGATTCTGCACCTCTGGACTCAAGTCTTACTTGCATAAACTCTCGAGGTGTGGGTGCAGCTGTGATTGGAGACATCGCCCACACAATACTCACACTCTGTACACGTAGTTTCAGCTTCTTCTGGTTTCATAATGCTCACTATCTAGAGAATAACTCTGCTTTGGCCGGAGCATAATAACCAAAATTTTCACGCATGCCGAATCTAAATGGTGCTTATGCACATTGAAATTTTCAGACTCTCTGTTTTTTCTTTACGAATGTATGCCTCATCACAGAAGAACAAATGTTGTGTTATAACGTTCGATCACACCGAAAAAATTGCCTTTAATAAATTTGTTCCCTCAATTAAAGTGGTAGTCATGTGAAATAAAATAAGTGTATATGCTTGTATGTTTGAAAGCACGTGTATACTCACGTACTCATGTAAAAAAGAGATAGCAGCTTCCCATAAAGCTTCACCGAAGGTAATGACAGTCAGGCAATCTGAATGTAGGATTGGATTTCATGTCTGAACTTCCCATTGAATAGAAAGTCGACCAATTAGACAGAAGCTTTTTATTTTACAGCTGTTGAACTTTCTAACCGAAAACTACTGTAGGGTATTGAGGACCAAGATTCTGAAGCTGATGTCGGATTTTACATTCAAGATTCCCATTGATAGAAGGATTGACCAATCAGAAAAGAACTTTTTGATCTTCATCGTTTTGGGCCTTTGGATCGGGCGATTCCCTCGACTGAAGGGACAGTCACCTAGTTGGCAACTGCGTCGCTACAGTCAGCGTGAAAATTGCGGAAAAGCGGAACACTAGCATGGGTTGTAGCGATCCAAGTAGCAGTTAGCGAGAGTCATAAAAAAATGAATATGTATGCTGGCTTGCCTGTATTTTGAGGGTAGGTGTGGATATGGTGGGCAGGTGTGTGATATGAGTGTGTGGAAGAGGAAGGGTCGGGGTTTAGATGTGATTGTGTCAGTTCTTTTAATATAGACCCACACTCATACCTACACCCCGCCATTGGTTGGATTGATCCATGAGTTCAAAAAGTGATTTCTGGCATTTCTGGTAGACATACCTCAAAAAGCTATTTAACACTTTCAGGACCGAGGCCATATATAGAAGTTGAGAATTCGACTAAATCTCGTTATCATTCATCGCACATTGGCTATATACAGCGAATGCCGGAAAGAAACTTAAATTTCTAGACTATTCTTTATACTTTATTGATAAAATCTTAAAACTTATAGTGCTTCAGAATGTATAATCGTTTGTCCTGTATTGATCTATTAATCAACAAGACCTACTCCTAAACACTTGTCATCTCCTGTATCTTACACAGCAAATAGATAAGGTCTTCAGAAGAATTGTGTTGCATTTTTACACGGTAGTCGAAGAAAGAGGATTGGTTCAAGCCATATAATTATGTAAACATTATGACGCGTGTGGGTATCGGTTTTGAAGAGAATATTGGCACTACACCCACGACTCAAACCCACCCGCCCATAACCACACACATCCACACCCTTGTAGAACCGTTTTTTCTGCACTGATATGCAGTATCAAAGTATTGATGTATCACATAAAACAGAATGGAATTGGTGGAAGGATGAGTTTGTGCCATGACTACATTATTATCAGTCGGGTTTTTAAATGAGATATTACCAGAGTATCAATCACATGAAACAAATCTAATTGAATATCTGTGCTAGCTAGTGGGAAAACGTTGAAACTCATATTTAAATCAAAACTAACTTAAAATGAATGGCATACAATTCAAAGCATAAAAAATCGATGACATATTTTGGATGAAAAAAATTAATTGGTATAAAGGTAATCGTTTATGGGTAAGGTTAAGGTAAGTATCTTTTGCAGTTCCAACGAGATAAAAAAATCTTCGGTACATTGTTCACTTTAATATGTTATACATCGGTGGTAGTTTGATATTTCAATAATTGGTTATTTTCTGACTATGATAAACTTAAAGTAGTTCTTTGACCGGTAGGCTGTGATGCGGGTATACCGCGGTTTTTAACAGTGCTGTGGTAGTGCGAGCAAACTTGCAACATGGCATATGTTTAAAAAAGTTACATTTAAACTTTTCAGCGCCATTTGAATAAATCCACTTTTCACCAGTTTAGTTAATAAAATATGGCTTTATTTCTTTGGTTTTCATTTACTAAGCTGTCTGTGTCATTTTTGTAATTGTTGCACTAAGTTATGGAGAATTCAAGAAGTGTTAGGATGGTATATTGAACGATGTGTCATAAAGATACTACAAAAATGTTAAAAATATCTGGGTAGTTCTGAACAACAACGAATAATTGTCAAAGATTATTAGGGGCCAGAAGATGTGCACATCCATTCCATTGTCATGATTTCTAAGTGTTTGTTTCTCTTTTTAATATGATATCATTTCTGAGTATGCGGAAGGAAGATATCCGGGTGTGAGGTGCCATGATCAAAGTTAAAGTTTACCTTTGGGTTCGAAAATATAAATGAGGCAAATTTTGAAAATCAGACTTGTTTCCAGACTCGAATTAGATAACTACTCAATTCTTATCAGAAATCACCTTTATTCTTTCAAGTTTTGAGCAAGTAACACCCATTATTGTGAGGAATAACAATACGAATAAAAAAGCTGTTAGCGCAATCCCTTGCGGGATTAAAAATGTGAAACACGATGAATCTATTGTTACTAGTTAAATGGAAATCGTTTTGTTCCATTTCTTTGCGATACATTTGTAGCTAACTGTTTCTATAAAGCTTT